GAAATTAAAAAGATGGCCAGCCGGGCACGGTGGCTCACACCTGTAATCCTAGCACTCTGGAAGGCTAAGGCGGGAGGATCGCTCCAGGTCAGGAATTCGCAACCAGCCTGAGCAAGAGCGAGACTCCGTCTTACTAAAAAATAGAAAGAAATTATCTGGACAACTAAAAATATATAGAAAAAATTAGCGGACATGGTGGCGCATGCCTGTAGTCCCAGCTACTTGGGAGGCTGAGGCAGAAGGATTGCTTGAGCCCAGGAGTTTGAGGTTGCTTTGAGCTAGGCTGACACCATAGCACTCTAACCTGGGCAACAGAGTGAGACTTTGTCTCAAAAAAAAAAAAATAATAATTGAAAAGACAAGTAAATAATAGACTAGGAGAAAATATTTGCAAATCACATTTCTAATAAAGGATTTGTATTCATAATCTATAAAGAGTCTGGGTGTGGTGGCTCATGCCTGTAATCCTAGCACTCTGGGAGGCCGAGGAGGGTGGATCGCTCAAGGTCAGGAGTTCAAGAGCAGCCTGAGCAAAAATGAGACCCCATCTCTACTAAAAATGGAAAGAAATTGGCTGGACAACTAAAAATATATACAGAAAAAATTAGCCAGGCATGGTGGCACATGCCTGTAGTCCCAGCTACTCGGGAGGCTGAGGCAGAAGGATTGCTTGAGCCCAGGAGTTTGAGGTTGCTTTGAGCTAGGCTGATGCCACGGCACTCTAGCCCGGGCAACAGAGTGAGACTCTGTGTCAAAAAAAAAAAAAAAAAAGCATAATCTATAAAGAATTCTTACAACTCAATAATCGGACAACTTAACTTGAATAGACATTCCACCAAAATGAATGAAAAAAAAAAACATGCTCAACATCATTAGTAATTAGGAAAATGCTAATCAACAATACAGTGAAATACCAGTACACAGCAACTAGAATTGTTATATTTCAGAGGCTGTCCATACCTAGTGTTAGGATTTGGAAAAACTGGAGCATTATAAATTACTGGTGGAAATGTAAGACAGTACAGCCACTTGGAAAAACATTTGGTTGTTCTTTAAACAGCTAAACATATTTCATATACAATCCAGCAATTCTACTCTTAAGTATCTACCCAAGGAAGCTGGGCATGGTGGTGTGCCACCTGTAGTCCCAGCTTCTTGGGAGGCTGAGGCAGGAGGATCTCTTGAGCCCAGGATTTCTGGACTGTAGTGTGCCATGCCAATCTGGTGTCCACACTAAGTTCAATATCAATATGCTGACCTCAGAGGAGCAGGGGACCACCTGATTGCCTAAGGAGGGGTGAACCAGCCCAGATTAGAAATGGAGCAGGTCAAAATTGATGCTGATCTGTAGTTTGATTGTGCCTGTAATTGGCCACTGCACCCCAGCCTGGGCAACATAGTGAGACTTTTGTCTCTTAAAAAAAAATTAAGTATCTACCCAAGTGAAAACATTTGTCCACCCAAAGACTTGTACTCAAGTATTTATAGCAGCATTATTCATCTTCCAGAGTAAGGAAAAATTTCTTAAATAAGAAACAAAATAGTGATAAAGTTGACTACCAAAGGAAAATAGTGATAAAGTTGACGACCTTGAAATTAAGAATTTCTTTCCAAGTCACTGCAAAGAACTAAAAAAAAAAATTAAGCATTTCTGTTCATCAAGAGGTTAAACAGGCAAGCTACAGGGTGGAAAAGATGCAACACATATATGAACACCAAAGGGTTCAACTTCAGAAAATATACAGAACTTTTACAAATCAAAAGGAAAAAGCCAACCCGATAGAAAAATGGGCAAAAGATTTGAAAGGCATTCTACAAAAAGGAAAATCAAATGTCCAGTAAAAATATTAAAGATGTTCAACATTTTTAAATAATCAGAGAAATGCCAGTTGCACCAAAATGAAAGACTACTACAGACTCACCAGACTGGCAGAAATTAAAAAGTGGCATTGGTAAGGATGTGGAACAAGAGGAACTCTCTCACGCTGGTGACGGGAGTGTAAATCTATGCAACTGATCTGGCAAACTTTATTAGCTACTTAAATTGATTACATGTATTCCCTGTGACTCAGCAATTTTATTCCTAGGCATATGTGCTTATATTTATAATGATATTTGTTCTTTAGAGCAAAACGGTGTAAGCAATACAAATGTCCATCAGCAGTAGACTAGATAAGTAAATTATGGTATATTCCTATAATAAAATACTGTACAAGAAGAAAAACAAAAAATCTATAGCCACTAGCAACAATATGGATGCTGCATTTAAAATTTTTTTTCATTTATTATTTATTTGTATATATTCATGGAGATGCTTCTTAAAAATATAATTGCGGATGAAAGAAGCCAAACATACACAGAATACGTAATGTATGATTCTATTTATAGAGATTTCAAAAACAGACAAATCTAAATTATAATGTTTAGAGATGCGTAACTCAACTCAGTCGGAAAAATATGAAGCAAAGCAATGTAGTGAATTTCAATAAAGTTAGGCTATCTTTATTTAAAATTTTGACATTTTGTTCATTATGGATTTTTGCACTACTTTTGATTTTCTAAAATGTTGCATTAAAATAGTATTTGTCTCAATTACTGAGTATTTTGGCATGCCTTCAAATATTGTGCCTGAGGTCAGTGCCTCAAATGCTTTATTCTAGGTTTTTTTTTTTTTTTTTTTTTGAGACAGAGTCTCACTCTGTTGCCACGGCTAGAGTGCCATGGTGTCAGCCTAGCTCACAGCAACCTCAAACTCCTGGGCTCAAGTGATCCTCCCACCTCAGCCTCCCAGAGTGCTTATTCTAGTTCTGACTCTAGTCAGAATAAGGGTTACTTCTAGAGGAGGAGGGAGAGGGTTACCATTAGGAAAGGGCACTCACTGGGTATCTGGAGTGTTGGCAACGTTCCATTTCTTGGCTGGGTGGTTATATAGATGTTCATTTTATAATAATTTAATAGGCTGAACATTTATATTTTATGTACTTTCTATATGCTTGAAAAATTTAATAAAGAGGAAAAATATAAAGGTCGATACAGAAATATTGTAAATTTTTTTTTTTACATTTACTACTAGAAAAGGCATAACTTCTTGAATGGGAAGAGCATAAATGACTTTTCTCATGAGAAGGAGAAAGTATTCTAGTCATTGTGTAATCCCATTTTTCCATCAAAGGATACTCAATGTAAGGAAGGTTGACAGGAATAATCAAACCCAAATCTCCCCAGGGTCTAATTTACATAAGGGCAAGAAATCCTGGTTATAGGAGAATATTTCCATTCTTAAGATTAGTAGACAGTGGAATATTATTTATTTATTTATTTTCTCTAGACAGGGCTACCCAGGCTCTAGTGCAGTGGCACAATCATAACTCACAACCTTGAACTCCTGGGTCAAGTAATCCTTCTGCCTTAGCCTCCTGAGTAGCTGGAATGTTATTTAATCCTTAAATAATAGTATAAATAGTAATGATGTACCTGGAAAGATTCAGTGTATCCAGATCTGAATGCAAGCTGCAGTCATCTCCATACTCCCAATTTACATTTCTTCAAGTATTGACTCAGTGTAAACTGTATCCATTGGCTTTTTCTTTATGTAGAATGTGAGATGTAGGACCAGGAGGTAATCTAGAAATCACGTACTTATATGGTCATCTATTTATAGTCATAAATAAGAAAAGAAGACTGTTTCTTTGGAAGCCAAATTATTAGTTATTGTTTTAATATCACTCTTCCCCATGAGTTTCAGAAGATCAAGACCACCAGTTAGTAGGCACAGGAAGCTGGAATCTGCCTGGTCCCAGATGTCTGAGAGGGGATATCAGAGGCAAGACACTGTGGTTATTGGAAAAGGGCCTTGTTAATAATTTAGACAAAGATCTACAAAGTTTTTAGATAAAGGCCACTAAAAAAGGAAAGGGCTTGACTTTAAAGCCATTTCGATATATGTTGACAATTCTTGTGCCATTTAGCAGACTTTGCTTTTGCTGCCCCATGTCTTCTCCAACCTTTTCCCTCTGAGAGCTCAGTGGAATAGACAACCTCAGGACTTTGAAATTTTATGCAGTAGGCACAGCCTGTCTTCCAGTTATCTATTGCCATGTACCAATCTACCCCCAACTTAGTGGCTTATAACAACAATAATCGTTTCTTTTTCTCACTCATCTGCAATTTATGTAGGTCTCATGAGGAAGCTCATTTCTCCTCCACATAGCAGATGGGGCAGCTCAGCTGGGGAGCTGATGGGTTCAACTTGCAAGATGGCTCACTCTAGTGGCTGGCAAGTTTGTCCCGGCTGTCAGTTGGGAGCTCAACAGTGGCTGTGGGCCATGAGTCTCAGCCCCTCTCCATGTGGGCCCTCTGCAGGTTGCTTGGGCTTCCTCACAGCTTGGTGGCTGGGTTCCAAGAGAGCAAGGGGCATGTGCGTGGCATTTTTGTGCTCTCGTCTTAAAAATCACATAGCATCACCCCTAACATACTCTTTCAGTTGAGGCAGTCGCGAAGAGCTACCTCAGTTGAAGTGGGGAGGGACATATACCCCACCACTTAATAGCAGGAGTGTCAGGGTCACATTGTGAGAAAAGCATGTGGGATGGGAGAGATTATTTGAGGACATCTTTGGAAAATACACTCTGTCAAACACAGTTGCACTGCTATTCCTCAGCTTGGTGATTTTCTTTAGCCCCTCCAAGACGACTTCCTTCCTTCCTTCCTTCCTTCCTTCCTTCCTTTCTTCCTTCCTTCCTCTCATCCTTCCTTCCTCTTGTTTTTCCTTCTTTCCCTCTCCTTTTTTTTTTTTCAGAAGTGAACCCTCTATGTTTAGCAAGCTTCCAAATAAGTGAATCTTTGAAAAAAAGAGTTTGATTCTTAGTAAGTGAAGAAAAAATCTAAACACCTAGAAACAGTGATCAGACAGTGGATTGGAGATGGGGGTACTGGGTCTTTTCTTGGGCCAGACAGAGTGCTTTGAAATAGTTCTGTAACTCCACCCTCTTCTCTGGCAGGTAAAGAATCATGTGAACAAGCTTCTGAAGTCAGTGAAGCACGAACTACAGACAGTGATGACATAGTGATACCTGTGTCTCAGAAATGTCCTAAGGCAGTAAGTACAATGAAGTAATGATTGCATGTGAGACAAGACTGTAAATAATGACCGTGTGCTTAGTGGCCACATATGTGAAATTCCAGTCCAGTTTTAATGAATCTGATGGAAGATGGAAGTTATAGTTAAATTTACATTTTGTGTGAATGAGAGTCTGTTAATACAGTCAGATTCGGATAAAAGGATCATTTTCTTGATTTGGTGTAAATGGTGACTTGCTTCAACACTTCTCTCTCTTATCTGGATCCCTTGCCTACCTCTTCTTGCTCTCATATCCTTCATTGTGTACTATTATTAGTGCGCAACCTGAATGATATGCCCCCTGTCTTTAAATCCACCTAAGAAGAGCAGGTTTACTTTGGGAGGCAGAGGTTGGAAAAGAAGGGTTTCTTCATGGGAGGGCTCAGAGAGATCATTTGACTCAACCTGTAATTATTTGTTAAACATTTCAGCCTTTAATCTCTTTTGGAAGTGATTGAGGACACACACACATTAATAAATATCCGCATATACATTCAACAATTATTGTATTAGAATCTTATGGGATTACAAATGAACTAGAAAACAATCACTCTTTTGAACCACTGCTATCTAGTACATTTAAAGGTGCACAATAAATTTCTGTTGAATGAGTAACTGAATGAAAGCTTAAGATCTATTTGAAGATTATGAAGCCCATTAGAAATATTAAAGAAGAATGTAGGATGACCTAAAATCAAGTGGGTAGATTATGTGATACAAACTCTAAGGTGTGTAAGAATTTAGAAAAGGGAAATTATTGTTGCTTTTGTAGAGGTCAGATAACTCTTTCTTGGAAGTCAACACTGGTGCTGAGGAATTGCAGGAAAATCTAGGATATTGGAGTAGGGAGAAACAACTCAAAGTGAGTAGACTTAAACATTTAATGTAACAAATAGTTAAGTTTCTCTCCTGATATGATAAATCATATCTTTTTTAGACATTATGTAGTTTAATATGTTGAGAAATGCCTATAAAACAAAGATTAGATCCACAGAATGTTAGGATTAGATAAAACACCTTAGATTTTATCAAGGTAAAGAAGATTAAATGATATGTCAGGATTAGAGTTAGATAGTGAAATGGCTTGAACTTGAGTCAATTTTTCTAAACAATGCCACCTCTCAAATTAACCCAAAAAGCAGCCAGCTAATGAACAATTGTTTTTTTTTTTTGTTTGTTTGCTTTTAGAGACAGAGTCTTGTTCTGTTGTCCAGGCTGGAGTGCAGTGGTGTGATCATGCCTAACTGCAGCCTTGAACCCCAGGCTCAAGTAATCTTCCTGCATCAGCCTCCTGAGTAGCTGGGACTACAGGCATGTGCCACCATGCCCAGCTAATTTTTTCTATATATTTTTAGTTGTCCAATTAATTTCTTTCTGTCTTTAGTAGAGACAGAGTCTCACTCTTGCTAAGCCTGGTGTCAAACTCCTGAGCTCAAACAATCCGCCCACCTCGGCCTCCCAGAGTGCTAGGATTATAGGCGTGAGCCACCGCGCCCGGCCAACCGGAAGAATTTTTAAAAAATAAAAGAAGCAAAGTAAAAAAAAAAAGAAAGAAAACAAAATGGTGAATAAGATAGACTTGGTCCCTTCCCTTCCTCCTTGAGTCTTACATTCTACTGAGGGAAAACAGATAAATCAGTGAACAAATAAATAAACCAGATAAGCTCAGATTCTAAGTACTATGAAGGAAATGAATAGGGTTGTTAGGTTGACAGTAAGGGACCTCTGGCTCCTCTTGGGGACAAAGGCAGGTGCCCTGAGCAATTGCTACATCTGGGGGAGGAGGGAACGCCCTACCAATCTGCCAATCAGAACTTAATGCTCCAACTGCAAAAAAATGCAGAGTATTCTCTAGCCTGCTGGCCAAGCAGCACAGGTACAACTGGGTCTGGAAGGTAACCTAGGACAACCTAAGGCTGATTATCATGTCTTTAATTTAAATCTACATCACAGTGGACTTTCAGAGAGGCTCATGGGAGATCCGCACGAGTAGTAAAAAAACTCAGCTTATATAACTCCCAGCTGTCCATCAGAGTGGTTCAAGGATGCTGTCAGAACCACAAGGACAGCCCAAACCAGACACTGTAAAACAAAACCCCAGACCATAACCAAGGCCTTTCTGTTATGATAAGGGGTCTGTTTGTCATCTGTGGCAAATGTGTCTTGCTCTTGCTCTATAAACCTATACCTATATCTTGTTCTTGCTTTATAATCCTATCTTTCTCTTCTCAGTAAACCTCATTTCATTCTTACCTTGCTTTGGTCATTCTTCGGCAAAGAGCACACCAAGAGCTGACAATGTAGGCTGCTGACCCGACAGGGTGATATAATAGTAATGGGAGGGTTAAATTAGGAAAGGTGTTAGGAAAAGATTTCTCTGAGGAGGGGACATTTGAACTGAAATCTGAAGAATGAGAAGGGAAGAGCTGAACATCTACTGGGTCAGAATTAGACTGTACCCATCTTGGTTAGTGGAAATGGCAAACGTAAAGGTTCTGAGGGAGGAAAGAGTTTGGTTTATCTGAGGAACTGGAAATCAAGAGAAAACTTCCTGCAGGAACTGGACTGGGAGCCTCAGCAGAGGCTGCTTGACAGATTTCTTTCGGTCACGTAGATATAATGATCCCCCTTTTCAAATGAGCATAGTGAGGCCTAGAGAGGAGAAGAGCTTGTTTGAGGTAATGTCTAATACATTTTTACTGAGTGCATACTGTGTGCCAAATATTGTGCCAAGTACTGAGTACTCAAGTATAGATCGTAATGGGACACGGTCCTAACTCTTAGGAACATAAAGCGTCTATAGTTTACTTAGTCTAATCAGAAAATAAAACACTACTCAGACAATGATAATATGACAGTTGCTGTAATGGTGTATGTGTAGGCACTATGGGAGGTAAGAATGCTTCCCTTTGCTTGGAGTGTTGGGGGTGGGGGAAACTCGGTGGTGTGGGTGACCCCTCAGCTGACTCTTGAGTGGTTAAGTATGAGCTCATTGGGTGGAGTGTGAGGAGGAGATGGGCGGAAAGACAAGCAAGCGTAAGGGCACGGGGCACAAGGCAACTCCAAGCCATGGGTAAGCTGGCAGAAGTTGCCCCTGGCCTGTGGGAAGGCTCAAGGGAAGTAAGGGGAGACGAAGTGAGCACACACGTCGGGGTGCAGCCAGGAAAATAGCCAATATCTTGTGCTTCAATAGAGAGAATTTAATATGAGGAGCTTCCTATGAAGGTAGTAAAAAGACTGAAAAAGCCAGTGGAGATTATCAACATCAGGAAGCAGTAACATAGGGCTGGAGGCGCCAAGGGAGGAGGAAGCGTAACACAGCCCAGGAATGGGGACCATCCCACAGGAGCTGCACCGGGAAACACAGCAGAGGCTGCCTGACAATGCCTGGGATGGAGGAGAGAGGGCCTCTCAGGTGGGAGTAGAATTCCCTAACTTCTCCCTTCCTCCTGCCCTCAAGGCTCCTGACAGTGTCTCTTGTTAGCCTAATGTATTGGCCAAGGAACCTGGAAAATGAAATGAGCGTGAGTCAGCCCCACATATAGGGAGAAGAATGAGGGAGGAAGGAATGGATAGAAGAGCAGACAGACTAATGATGACAGCATTATCCAGATAGGACTGGATTGTAAAAAGCCCACACATAGGAGTTTTAACTTAATCTATAAGCAGTGGTGAGCCATGGAAATGGAGGGTTTTAGTCCAGGCAAGAGGTGAACTAAAATGATAGCCACTGGACTGGAAGGCTGGAGAGTTTGAGTGATGCATAGGAAGTAGACTTTACCTTTTATTAGTTCCACTTTCAACACACATTTACTTCTCACCACCTCCACCACGCCTACTGGGTTCGAGCCACCTCGTGTCTTATCTGGATTATTGCAATATTCCCCTAAGTGGCCTCCCATGTGTAGTCTGAGTGATCATTTGAAAACGTTAGTCAGATCTTGTCACACCTCTGCTCAAAATCCCCCAACAGCTCCCCAGCCACGTGGTCCTACACTTGGCCTGGATCTACTTTACAGCTTCATCTCCTACCACTGTCCCCCTGGATGGCCTCTGTGCTGTTGCTCTAACACTGCAGGTGTGCCTCCCCTCTGGACCTTGCACTTTCTCTTTTCTCCACTTGGGATGCTCCTTGCCCTGTTCCCTCCCTTCCTTTCTGAAGATGTTTGCTTAGATCTTCCCTCTACCCTATAGAGGTGGCAGATAACACTGCCACCTCCAACCTAGCACTCTCATCCCTTTGACTCTTTTAATTTCTCTCCGTGTCACTGCCTGATGTGTTGTACATTTGTTTGTGTATTTGTTATCCAAAATATAAGCTTCATGGGGACACAGACTTTGTTTACTGCTGTATGTCCAATGATTAGAACAGTGCCTGACATTTTCTACTTATTGAATAGGTGCTCAGTAAATATTTGTTAAATAAATAATTTGACAGGACTTAGTCACTGTAGGTGTGTGCAGAGTGGGAACAAGGTAAGGGAGATTGAAGTGTCTACACTAACTCCCAGTTTCCTGGCTTTGGCCTCGGTGGATGGTGATGTCAGTAACAAGTTTGACAGAGGTATGTGGTGACAGAGAAGGAGATGATAAACCCGATTATGGACATATGGGGCCTGAGGTACCCATGAGACGAGGTGGGGATGCCTAGTGGGCTGGTAGATCTGTAGGTCTGGAGCTCAGGGGATATGTCTGAGATAGAGAGAGAGGTTAGGGCAACATCAGCCTAGTGCTGCTTAAAAGCCTGGAAGTAGGTAAGATTGCTCAAGAAAGCACAGGGAGGGAGATGAGAAGGCCAAAGACAGAATCCGGGGGCACTCAGGCAGTTAAGGGACAGGAGAGCAAGAGGGGTCTCCTGAGGAGAGCAAGGGATAGGCAGAAAGAAGGGAGGAAGACAGAAAGGGGCAAGGCCACAGAGACAGGGAGTAGACATTGAAAAGGGAAATGACAATCCCCTTTGTCACAGGCAAGGTGTCAAATAAGTGATTGACAAGGGTGAGACTGGAGAGGTAAGGTGTGAAGTCTTAGCCTAAGTTCTTTCTCGTGCTTCTGTTTGGTCAATTTGACTTCTTGTTCTGCCGTCTTTACTCCCTGGGACTGTTGATCATTCCCTTATTGTTGTGACTGGCTCTTCTATTCCTAGAGCGGTAGCTCTCGTCACGACTCAGAGCTACCCATCCCTACCAAAATAGACATTTAATATAGATATATAGACTTAAATATATGCATATATTTATAAATATAGTTCAGTGTTCAAAGTAATGTGAATATTTTGTTAAAAAATTAAAATATAGAGAGATGTATAACGGAAAAAGAAAGTTTTCTGACCCAGTTTACTTAATCTGCCTCCTGCCCCCTCCCACTCCCTAGGGGTTGTCCCTGTTCACAGTCTTGTTTGCATCTTTTTAATGAACACACATGTACACAGACACACACTCATACAATGTGTATGTATGTATGTGCGATCATACATTGTAGACATGTATCATGTATGCATTCTCCCCCTTTTTCTATCACCTTCAGTCTGTCTTAGACATCTTCCAATGTCAGCGTATACAGATCTACCTAACTCCTTTTAATGGATGCCTTCTATTCAATAGAATAAATGCGTTGTAATTCATTCAGTCATTTTCTGTAGTGTACATCTGGGTTGTGTTCAATATTTTGATGTTAAAAATAATTCCAAAGCGAGGTGTAGTGGTACATACCTGTAGTCCCAGCCACACGGGAAGCTGAGGTGGGAGGATCACTGGAGCCCAGGAGTTCGAGGCTAGGGTGAACTATAATCATGCCTGTCAATAGCCACTGCACAGCCTGGGCAACATAGTGAGACCCCATCTCTAAATATAAATAAATAAATTAAATCAAATTAAAATAATGAAGACCCTTGTTCCTATGTATCTCTGTGTACTTCGCAAATGTTTTTATAGGATAGATTCCTAGAAGTGGAATTGCTGGTTTTTTTTTTTTTTTGAGACAGAGTCTCACTCTGTTGCCCTGGCTAGAGTGAGTGCCGTGGCGTCAGCCTAGCTCACAGCAACCTAAAGCTGCTATAAATATTGGTGTGCAGGTTTTTT